ATGGTAGAAAAGGAAAAACAGAAGACACATTGGAAGCAAACAGAAAAATAGAAGAAAAGGATGAAGAAAAAGAAAACAGATTGCCTACTAATGAAAAGCACGTGTAAGAAAAATTAAATGAATACACAGAGGGAAATAAAATTTGAAAACAAAACTTTAAAAACACAATAAAGTAAAAACAGTGCTGGCAGCATGGTTAACGAAAGAGTGGGAATCGCAACACAATAGAAAAACTACCAATAGGCTCAGCCAAGCAGGAGAGACAATGTCCATTCTCTTAAAAAGGATGAGATGCTGGAGTGCCTCCTTTGAAATGTGGAAAGCGCCGGTTCCATGTACAGTGGGGATTCCACCGAACCTGTGGACGCTTGCCTTCCCTGCCATGTATGCTGCAGCTGACTCTGTATTGCACAAGTGTCTGAGGTCTGTCAGAGCTGTCTTCACGTCAGTTGCTTTACATTCTTTGTGTACTGGGGGCATCTGCTGTCCACACGTAGCTTTGTAGTCTGTGGACTGAGCATTTTCTCGTGCCCTCTGGAGACCCTCCCCCAAGACTGGACACCATGGGATGGCTCACATTCTAACTAGGGTGGGTTTCCCAAGTGCATCGGGGTTGTAGGAAGCAACCCCAGCCCTAAGGTCCTTCAAGACCCTCTGAATATTAATCGCCCCATTGGAGGGCTGGAGCTTCAGACTTATGCAGCCCTGCAGCATTGAACAGCAGAAGGGTAGCTTCGGAGGTTGACCTGCCGATTGCTTTCAGGCCCCTCAAACTCCAGGGTTGTTCTCAGTTGATGAACGCCACTCCCAGGCACCTCTCTTTCTCTGTGCATTTCCCTACTTGTGGGGGAGCTTCCTGCTACCTGCATCTTCTGGCTTGTGGATTGCAAACTTTTCTATTGCTTGATAAAACACCACGAAGAAGGCAACTCACAGAAGAAAGAGTTTATTTGGGCTTATCAAGTTCCAGAGTCCACGCTGAAGGACTGAAAGTCTGGTGGTAGGAGGAGGTAGCTGAAGCTCCCATCTTAACTGCAGCCAGAAATCAGAGAGAGTGGACTAGAGTGCCATGTGGCTTTTGAAACTTCAGAGATTGCTCCCAGTGACATACTTCTTCCAGTAAGGCCACACCTCCTAAATTTACCCAAACAGATCCACCAACTGCAGAACAATTATTCAAACATTTGAGCCCATGGGGGATTTTCTCATTCAAACCACCACAACTTACCAGCATCTGGCACTCCGACTTTCCATAACTCTTTCCCTGCCATGGGGCTGTGGCAGCCAAGTGAAGCCGCCTAGCCTGTGGCTATACCCTGATCTCAGGCTTCCAAGGCAGCTAGTTCAGTTTTCAAGTTCTCTTTTAAGATGGCACCCAGCCTCTGTTCTCTGAGTCAGATGGAGTGGTAAAATATGATTTGTCTCCACTCCAGATCCATCTACCAGATAGTGCTGTCTCCATCAACACCACAGCAAGACTGGAGGGTTGTGGGGGCTGTGGACTTTTCCTGGCTTACCTTTAGAATGCAGCCTCTGCTTCACCACCACCACCACCACCACCACCACCACCACCACCACCACCACCACCACCACCACCACCACCACCACCACCCCGCCCCCGCGGAGCTGTGCGGTTGAAGCTGTGTTCCACTTACTTCTTATTGGTGTATCGCCTGTATCTTTTCCCTCTGTGCTTTTTGGGTACCCCTTCATATTATTTATGGATGTTCAAAACTTTCCCTCTTCTGGAAAAGAGTGCATTTTTTTTCTAATCCTGACTCTGGCCTTCACTGGGTCACACAGGGGCAGCTTTGAGCCTGCCATCACATCCTGAAGTCCTTACTTCTAGTGTAGTTATGTAGAACCCTCTGTGAGGAGTGATCAGCCCCACTTTCCATCAGGAAACAGAAAACGGTGTTGACTTTAAGAAGTCACACATACCTACTCAGGATGCAAAGACAAGTGTGAAATTCAGGGGTCCCAGATAATGAGGTGAGCCTGTCAGTCCAATGCCTTATATCTATCTTGCTGAGGCAAATCTCTCCACTCTCCCTCCCATCCTCTGGGTCTCTCTGGGTGCTGGGCAGTGACCATCCCCAGCTGCATCTCCCACTTTGAGCTCTGAGATGCAGGCAGGATGTTCTCAGATGACCAACACCACCGTCGACTGTTTGTGAAGTTCCTTGCAATCCTGACCTTTCCTATCTCCTGGTACAGACTGCACTGGTAGATTAGAGAGCAGCCTGGAGCCGGGGGAGAGGGCAGCTTAGCACCCTCAACGTCTCACATTTCAACCAGCAATCCCCAAATTGTTTTTCACTGCTAAGTTAAAAAAGAAACAGAACAACAGGTCGTGGCTCACCAATGTCCACAAAGCTGAGGAGTGAAGTAATGTCAGTAAACATAATTAGTTGTGTCTTTTTGGCCCACAGCTAACAAAAGCAAAGCGTAAATTCACTTAGCTACCTTCTATCTCAAATATTCATCTCCGATCCTGGGCCATACATGACAGTCTTTAATTGACTGCAAAGTTAAACAAACAATAAGAGAATGTGGTTAATTATGTTGGCCCAAGGAAGTGGAACACAGGTTTAATGCCCAAGGCTCACATCATCCTGTGAAGAACACAATTTTCATGTCCACCTTAAATAGAAGCCTCTGTGGATAACGACTTAAGGCAATTGGCTGGTTCCTTGTTCTCTTCCTAGGTCACCCACCTCACCTCTTCTTGCGAGGCATTCTACCCTTTCCCTGAACTCCCATTTCAATAAAAGTTTGGCTAGCATTTCTTATAGTCCCTGTCTGAGTCTTTGACTGAATCTGTAACATTTGTTTTTCTGATTTACTTCTACCTTGGAAAGGCTATTACATTCAGCGTTGTCCATTTGAATGCGGTATGTGTTATCTTCGAGCAAAGGAATGTGGGTATCTGTCTTAGCTGCTTAAACTGTATGCTTATGTGTTGAAAAGAAAGGAAGAGACGAAGAGAAAGGAAATCAGTTTTGAAAATAGAGTTGTTGATGTAATGGACAGAGATATCTTGTGGAATCTACCTCTGGGATCCGTGGTGAAGGGTCTTCTGGGAGAAAACAACCGCTCTGAATCTGACACTTCCATAATGTAGAGATGGTGCGTCCTTACTAATGATTGAAATTAATTTTTCATTTTACAGATGAGGAATCTTTGGTGCTTAGAAGCAAGATGTCTTTCCCAAGGTCCCCCAGTTAGTTAGGGATTCCCAAGGTCCCCCAGTTAGTTAGGGATTCCTAAGGTCCCCCAGTTAGTTAGGGACAGACCAGCAATTAGAAGCCAACATTTTAGACTTCCAGATTTGTGAAGTTCTTCTTGGACTGGCATGAAGCTGCAGTATGTTAGGTAGTGCAACCTTGAAAGTCACGTGCACACCTGAATTTGATCAGTTGTTGACCCACCCCGGGGTGATGGGCTCTGCAGAACCTCCCTTCATCCTATGTGAATGAAGGGAGTAGTGTAGGGATGAGGGTTACATAATGGTGGGAGTCATCCCCTATCAGGTGCTCACTGATCCTTCTTCCTCTCATCCTCCCAACCACTCAAGGACAGAAGAGATGTCACTCTGACTTAAGGTTCCTGGACACAAAGCCACTTAGGTTTTATGCTTCATTGAGCAGTTGACTGGCATGTCAAGTCCTTGGTGATAATTGTAGTAAGAGCTGCTACAATAACAGCATTGGTGACCTTGATTGTCTGTGCAGAGAGGTTATACAGAGAACCCAGATTATCTCACTGAATCCTTACAGAAAGAGGAGGAAATGGGCGTCATGTTAACCTCATGCTAATATCAGAGGAGACCAGCACTACAGCCAGTAGGTAATTTCCCCACCATGTCACAGCTATCCACTGTCAGCACTTGGATTTGGTTGGCCCAGAGTCTCTCTCTTAATGTGGTGGTTTGCACGATATGCTTAATGTTTAAATCTCTAAGGGAAGTCTACTGTGAGCCTATACCTTGAGCCAGCCTCTTGTCCCTAGCCCCCATGATCTTTGGATCTGGGACAGAGGAGCTGCCTGAAGGACAGTCTCTTGCTTCTAGAGGCTGGGGCACACTAGGAGCACGTTTTATGAGCATGAAGAGAAGGCTTCCCAAAGCGCCAGCCTCCCAGATGGGGCTGGTTGCCTGAAATCCTTCAGCCACAGCATCGAGGTCATAAAATGAGAGGGTTGCAATTTCCTCTCTGCGCTGGCTCTCACTGGCGGCATCAGGAATTGATGGACGCTCCTGCAGATCTGGACTGCTTGCTAGGCAGGGCTGGCAGTCTCATTGGCTGTGCAGTAGTTGGGACTGAAATGGCATTTTTTGGGGGGTGGGGAGTCTGGTATCAGAAACTCAGCAAATGGTACCTAAAGGAAAACATCAACCACCACCACCACCATTTTGTAATGTTTCATTGTTTATAGAATATCATGCTTTTTTTTTAAATTTCTCGTTTCCAAAGACACCATTTGTGAACCCTTTTGACCTTAAGGATTGAAAGCTTCAATGAAGTCTAGAGAATTAATCCAGAAAGCATTCATTTTTCCCCCTCTACAGAAGGCCTTGATTGAGAATCAGAAGAACTGAACCTTCTAGAACTCTGAGCAGTACCTTTCTCATCTGTAGAAAGAGGCCAACACTACATAAGGAATGACGAAAACCAAATGAGACATGCACAAATGCTGGAAGCCCTTAGGTTTCCAGAGCATACAAGATAAAGGGAACGTCTAGCAGGCCCTGCTTCAATCCACACACATAACTTCATGTTTGTGCAATGAAAACACTCACTCTTTACCCCTAAGACATAGCCTCGCTTTTCTGATTACAGTGGCCCCTGTAATCCCTACCAGTCCTTTAGCAAACACATCGTTTCATGATGTCTCAGCTATTATCACAATTCCGTTTGACAGTTTCATATTGGCTCTGTATCTTGTACATACTTTCCTTCATAAGTTTCATTGACATGGCTTCTGTTCTGTTTTGGCAGTTTCTATTTCATCGCCTGTCCTGTACAGAGTCAACACTGGGAAACTGTGAAGGAGGTTAGCTTCGTCTTCATGCTCTTCAAGCTGCGCCTTCCCATGCCTTGTCTTCCGTGGAGAAATGGGAACCGCCACCTGCTCAGCTTGCTAGCAGAGCCTTTCTTGGGAATCTGTTCTCAGCTCACATCCCAGGCAAAAAGAGCTCACCATTGACAGTGGCTCAAAGTAAAATCAGATCCTTTCAGGAGGAAAAGACAAAGGAACTGAGTAATCTACCATTATGTTCCAACTCATTCTAAACTCAGGTGACTCCAGGACTTCCAGACAAGCTGGGAAGAAGACAGGAAAAAAAGGCACGCTGGGAAAGAGAGTGAGGCTCAAAATGTGTTCCAGCGACTGCTCCCATGGAATCAGTGTCATTTGGGGAGGAAGAGCTAGGTGAGGAGTGGTGCCTTTGGGGCCATCTGTCTGTCCCAGATAGCAATGTGGTCTGTCTGAGAGGCGTGTCTGAGGGTGGAGCTGCAGTGTCAGATGAGGTAGAAAAGCGACTAGATTCTGCTTTTACTTGACAAATTCCTGTTAGAAAGCAGGGAAGGTGAACTGCTCTGCCATTCTTAACTAACTGTATTATATTGTTTTGAGAAGAGTGTTAGAAAACGCTGAGGATAATCTATCTGCCATCTAAGGGCTATGCCAGAGTAAAAGCCCAGCTACTGCTTTGGTGCCTTCGCTGCTGACACGAGTGAGACATCACACAGGGGAAGGTGTCTTTAGGACACTCATTTCTGTCCCTCCTGCTTCTCCCCTCCCCCACCCCACCCCACCTCGGTTTGGAAGTCAGGAGAATCTGTTGTTGTTTGCTTTGGCGGGGCCACCACCCAGCTCCCAAATAAATTACACACGGAGGCTTTTTCTTACTTATGAATGCCCAGCCTGAGCTTGGCTTAGTTTCTAGCCAGCTTTCCTTATCTTAAATTATCTTATCTACCTTTTGCCTCTGGGCTTTTCCTGTTCTCTTCCGTAAATCTTACTCTTACTCCATGGCTTGCTGGTTGGTTGTGTGGCTGGGTAGGTGGCCCCTGATGTCCTCCCCTTCTCTGGCTCCTTCTCCATCTCTCTCCTTCCAGATTTCTCCTTCTATATAATCTCTCTGCCTGCCAACCCCACCTATTCTTTCTCCTGTCTTGCTATTGGCTGTTCAGTTCTTTATTAGATCATCAGGTGTTTTACACAGACACAGTAACACAGCTTCACAGAGTTAAACAAATACAGCATAAACAAAAACATCACACCTTAAAATAATATTCTACTACAAGAATCCTTTCAATCTGTAGACTCAAGGCATATCAGTATGAAGAGAGGGGTTTGGCAGATTAAGAAATGGCAGAAACTTTGGGAGAAGGCATCTTCCATAGGAGCCACGGATGGGAACACTTTCCTTATATTTACTGAAGCAAATTCCACAAAAGTAAAAGAGAAAGCCAGGGCAGTCAAGTATGTTTAAGTCTAGGAGAGTCTAAGTACTTTAGTTGTGACTGAGCACACACGAGACTGATAAAGAAAGGCTGAACTGCCAAAGAAAGAGCATGGTGGCCCTTAGGGGCTGTGGAGTTCAGCTTCTCAAAGGCAAACGTGTGGACACGGGAGGAAGTGACGCACCCAAGGTCAGCAGAGACCCCCAGAAAGAGAGGCTTTCTCAGTTGCAACAGATGTGTTGAGAGTAAGAATGTAATGGGTATTTTTAAAACTATGATCAGAGGGAGGGAAAAATCAAAGGAGTCACGGTCCCTTTCCTCCGGACAGCTGGTGAAACGCTAGTTGGAAAGAGAGAGAAACCAGAGCTCCTCAATCACTTCTCTGCTTTCTCTGTCCTACAGAGGGGAACGTTCTCCATGGAGAAAAGATGCAGAGCCATCTTTAATGCAGAGGAGCTGGGGGCGGAGAGGCATGAGGTGTAATAGAGCTCACGGACTGTCTCAGTGAGTTTCCATTTTCGGGTCAGACGCAGCTGCAGACGTGATCAAGGACTCCAGTGCTCCACAGCTGGCGGTGGGCAGATGTTTTCAAGATGGCAGAAAAGGTATCCTCTCACACGTGGAGACGAGAACAAGAGCTGGTGTTTGTGAGCTAGTCCACCTGAGGTGTGGTGTGGAGGAAGTACCCAGAGGTGCATCTCCCACTCCTGAGGCCCTTCCTGTCCTGATGGCAAAGCACCCAGTCAGTGTGAACCAAGGACAGGAGCCTTAGCTGCAAAGGAGAATTCAGGGCAGAGTAGGGGTGACTGTGTGTGTGTGGGGGCATTAATGCATACACTCTTTCTGCCCTCCCACTTCTGGAGTTCTTTCTAGAACAGTCTCAAGAAATGCTTTACCAACCCTTTCGTTAAGATATGGACGTGAACTAAGTGCCTGAAATAGCGAAGGAGGGGAGAGAAAGTGACATGTTTAGGTTTAGTGAGCTGTTGGAGTACACGCCTCCTTCTAATCCACATGAGCTGACTAGAGCTCTGCTTGCTCAGGGCCTGTCCACCCTTGCATGCATGCTTTCTAAATTCCCATCTTGCATCTTCCTAGAAAGGCCACACTCCTTTGACATCACCTCGTCTTCAACATCTATCAGCCTGCACTCGATTCTCTGGGACTACAAAGATGGCTAAAATCCGATTCTTGCTTTTAAAGGCCCTCTGCTGAAGAGACTTGCCTGGCGTGAGGCTCCCTCCATGCAAAGAACAGCAGATTGTGATTGGATCCTTTTTGAGGAGTCATTGTCCCCTGGATGATGTAAATGTCTCCGCCAGATGCTTCCCACAGTCATGGAGAATCCCTTAGTCAAGTTCATATTCTCCCCAGATCTCTGCACAGGACAGAGGAAACCAGGAGCCCTGCACTGCCGCAAGGATCTCAAGACTTCGGCAGAATGTCTAGAGTTCAAACTCTTGGTCCTCTCTCAAGGTCCTAAAGATCCAGACCCTTCTCTCTCCATCTCATCTCTCCTTTTCACTCTGCTTTCTCATGCCACTCAATTCTCCTGGCTTTTGTTTCAAAGATTTAACATAGATTAAAAAACTTTTTTGAGTCAGGATGTGTCATCGTGTAGAAAATGGAAGGTCAGTGAATCACGTGAGAAGGATGTGACTAGCTCCCAAGGCTTGGTGGCTAGACTGAGCTTAGGATGGCGGAAATAGGAAGAAGTTTGAGGTAGCAGGCATTCATCTTGGGGCTTGTCTGGTGTGCATGGTGGCCTCCACAGCTTGGTCTGGAAGCTTGGAGAAAGAGATGAGATCCCCGATACGGATGTTAGGAACACATTCTTTCCCACTGAGCCTGCTCCCTGGGGTGCAGGCCTGGGGGTGGCTTGGAACAGAGACAGCTCTCTGGGCTCCCTGGCTGGCAAAGGGTGAGATTTAGCCTGGGGCTGCATCAGGATCCAGATTCCAAAGAAGAGCTCCCAGGATGCTGTGGGCTCTGCCCCCAATGCCACACACAGGGACAGGGTTTCATTTCAACTTCATTCTTTTCTTACTATCTAGCCCTTCAGCCAAACAGACCTAGTTCTCTAAGGCTAAGAAGGGCTTCCTTGTCCCGGATGGGTGGTGGGACTATGGAGCCTCTAAATTCCAGGTCCAAGACCCGGAATTCCACCTCATTTGCCATCGTGTGCCTACTTACGGGGCCTGTGACCTTTGGCTCTTACCTTCCGGAAGTGCCATCTCTTCCATTATAACCACTATTCTAGTCTTGAGAACCCGGTAACGTGCAAAAGTGCACATTAGCCTCCATAGGGGCTTTGGAGACATAAATGTTCCTCTCTCCCCTGCTTCCTCTGCCCAGCTTTCTCCAGTATCAAACAAAGATACCAGTGTAGGCAAGCAAAGGATGGGAGGCCAGCCTTGAACAGTGAAGCTGCCTGTGAAACCAGGCAGGAAGACCCTCCCTGCCCCACACCAGACAAGCATTTTTATCTCTCAAGCCCTGTGATGACATCTGTAGATAACCCCTGGAGATACTATCAGTCACTGCCTTGGCCATGGGGTCTTATGCTATACATATTAGTCATTAAAACATTGGTATGAAATAACTTCAAAGTCAGCGCTTCTCAGGGTTCCAAGTCACTATGTTCAACTCCAACTCCAGGCAAATGATTTTGATAACTCTCTAAGAGTTGTCTAGAATCTTCTGGAATGATCTCAATGAAGAAAAAAAGAAAACAAAAAAAGACAAAAAACTTCATGGCATTATCAGGTAGCATTTTGGTTCTTATTTATTTATTAGTTTACTTATTTATCTTTGTGTGCACACATGTGTGCTTATTCATATACAAATGTGCACACATGCATGTGATGCTCACACTACCTCCAATTTTTTTTTTTTTGAGGCAGGTCTCTCACTGTACCTGGAGCTCACTGTTTCAGCTAGCCTGGTTGTCCAGCAAGCCTCAAGGGTTTTCCTGTCTCCACTTCCTCAGAGCTGAGGTGACATCATTACTACACTTGGTCTTTTATGTGGGCCCTGGGGATCTGAACTCAGGTCTTCAGGCTTGCATGGCAAACACTTTATTCATTGACCTAGAACTCCTTAGCCTTTGGTTCTACCCCCTCAAAGCTGTCTCGTGGAGTTGAGTTCTGTGACAGAGGATAGGCAGGTATCCATTCATTAGCACTTGAAATACTTGAGAAGAGCAATATATTTTTCTGCCTTTATATCCTGGATTATTGGGTTATTTTCACATCTTTTGAATCATTTTTAACCCCATGTACTCACTCTGAGAATGCCTGCATTTTCCAGTGTGGCACCTCTACCTGACCCAAGGAGGGTGGCAGTGCAGTGGGATTGGAGGGGACATAGAGTGGGGTTGGAGGGGACACAGAGTGGGGTTGGAGGGGACACAGAGTGGGGTTGGAGGGGACACAGAGTG